AAACGTTAGGAAACAAAACTTCAAGAACACGGCCACACAGCCCGGAAGACCCACACCAGAAAGTCTGTCTCTTAACACGGTGAAAATATAAAGGAATGGGTTTCCAGAAAATAAAAGCATGAAGTTTTTTTCTTTAAAAAAGTGTTGCATACAAAATATATTTATGTTGGATACCTATAAACTATATAAATAAACATAACTATATTCATTATTACGAATAAGGAAATAAGGAATAAGAATGTAGACTTCATTTTAACGTGCTTAGTTTTGGCAGGTTATAGAGAATTTGTTGTTGTTCTATTTTCAGTAGTTTTCAGCATGATGAGGACTATTTACCCTGAAATTTCCTCTGTTTAATATGTTCCTTTTTGTATGGCACTTTGGATATCTTGTTTGGGCTAAAAGAGATACTATGATTTTTTTTCTGCAAAAAATGATGCTAAAATTCTGCAATGCTATATATTTAGTCAAACAGAGAAAGACAACTAAGCTTAAGAACACAGGAAATATTGTGCTGAATCAGATAAATGGTCAACTGAATTCAGCATTCATCTTCCTACTTCAGGCAAAACTAGAAATACCAGATTTGGGTTGCCAAAATCTGGATGACCACTAGATGGCAGCAGAGAATTATGTTGCCTCTTTTTCTTCCATATAGCAAGCATCCAGTTTCACAGCCAGATATGGAAGGCTTGGCAAAGTATGTCTCAAAAGATGATAAACAAAACCTGAACAGCCTCCATGAAATGTTATTATGATGCATTCACAAATATTTATATATTCTAGGGAACAATATATAATTCTGAGCCCTATTGAATCCTTATTCAAAGAATGATTTGCTTCTGGCACAGCTCTTACATTAAATCAGTGATATATAATCAAGACAGAATGAATTATTTTTACCTTCCAAGAGCCTGAAGCAGTGCCCAAAGCTCCAGGCATAAATCGGCCATAACGTCGCAGTGACCACTCTACAGCATTCAGGGAGGAAGTGTCCCGTGATTGTTCTGTTACTTGGCCTAGCAGTGGCTGATCTACTTCAGACCATAAAGTTGGATCACAAGTATTCAGTATATGACCATTATTACTCCCTGTTGCCATTTCCTAGGCTACAATTTCTCCAGAGAAAATCACTTAATATCTGAGAGAGGAAATCAGTATGAAAGAAAGATTTAGACAATTATCCCATCAACCTTTTTTCCTTGCTAATTTATTTTCTATCCTCATTTATAGAATTAGGCACATTCTTACAAGGAAATTTAACTATGAGCTTGAACTAACCCACTCACACTGAGACAGAAAGAAGTGTCCCATGATAATCCATATTAGGTCTATTCAACAGTATGAATGTATATGTGTGTGTGTTTGTATATATGTATAGGTTTGTGTGTGTGTGTGTGTATACATACATACATACATACATACACACCTATACATATTATTTTAGTTACTTTTTCTAAGTCATGTATGGGTGTCACTTCGTTTATAATCATTTCAGTCCTCTTTCCCTGTAAATGCATATATAGCCTTCTTGAATATTTTTAAAAAATAATCATAATTGACAAAAACATCACAAGAAAGTAATTTCTTCAGAGATAAAGTACTAGGATTTAAATTCACATTTTTTTCATAAGATCTAAATTGTGTTTAGGATAGGAGGCCCGTCCTAAATACAACTTGCTGCCACAATGGCCAGTCAGGAATATGGGACAGCCATAAACCCATAAGCAGAATATAGCGCATGCCCATTATATTCCTCAGCAACTAATGTTCAGAGGCATACTGCCACAGAAAACTGATGCAACAAATAACTATCAAGACTAGTAGCCATCACTTTATTCACCATAATTTTGCATAATCCTCTTTTTTTGGCACATTTCTACATGTCTTTGAAAAGTCCTAGCCCTTTTGAAATGTAGTGAGGTGCCACTTGTGAATGATAGCGGCATTAAGAAAGCTATAAAGTCCACTATGAGTGAATTTCAGTGACTCACAGGAGTTTGATGGAGGTCAGGTAAAGGTAAAGAATTAATTCCAGTGGGAATCAGTCAAAAGAAATTAGTGATTGGTGACAAATTTTTATATTTTTCAATAATTACTATTAAAGTGAGGAAAAATGATCTCCCCATAATTCTCCATTCTCTTTGTGATTAATTAAGCTTGGAAGGGAGTAAGGTTAGAAAATATTGGGGAATAATAAAACTTTTTTCCCTTTTGGAAAACCTTCAATGATAAATGAACCTGTGATAGACAGACAGACAGAATAATGAGCTAAGGAAAAAGGAAACAGTGAGCTAAGGGGAAAAATAGACTGAAAAAAGAAAGAAGTGTATTGTTTCTTTCAACAAAATTAAAATATTAAGCAATATTAAAATTGTATTAACAAATACATCCCAAATCTCCATAAGAAGATTCATAAGAAGCAATATTGGGAAAGCTAGTTTGCCCAATATTTCCAAGGGACAAACTAAATTTCCCTTTAGAAGGAGCTTTGCCTCTCTCTATATCAGAAAATTCAGAAAAGCTGGTCCAATAATAATTCCTAAGATCTGAGATCATGTCTAAATTTGATATAAAATTGCTGAAAGAAGATGCATATACATATATAAATATGCATCTGTTCCAGAAGTATGTATGATCTCAGAGTCATAATGTATTTTTTTAGAACATCCCTCATTCTCAGTTTCTTTTGTTGTTAAATACACGTCTCCTTGAAAAGACAAGTACATTTTCCATGTCAGTTGACCATGTCCTACTAAACTTACTGCCAAATAGGTGCATATAGGATTGCAGACTTTTGTTAGATGAAAAATGCATTTTATAAATAAAATGTTATTACAAAACCGTGCTCTAGTTCTATTCCATAAAAATATATAAGCACATTAGCTAAGCAGCTCTCATAAATGCTCCTATAAACATTTCAAATGTCTTGACTTATTAAATGATAAACTCTTTTCACCTCTGTTTCACCAAATACAAGGAAAAAGAAGTATTGTAATCCATATAAACACCACCCAGCCACTTCCCTTACTAGATTGGTTGTAATATTTTCATTGCAGAATTTCTTCAAAGGCAACATTAAACATTGTGCTTTTTAAATAACTTGCTTATCCATAATTTTTCTCCCAGCCTTAGAGGCAAAATCTTAGAGAGTATAAATTAAGAATCAAATTCAGTTTGGACACATGCCAATTAAACGACTGGTTTCAAATCCACAGTAGATGTTTCTGTCAGGATAACTAATTCCTACAATGGGCCTTGAATATCCCTAATTGCTGGAGTGATGGCCTCACCTGTGCAATTACATTTCTTTCTGAAACTATTATAGTTTCTGGGGATTTACATTATTAAATTGTTATTAGTACTATTATTATTATGCCTTAGCCCAAAGCACTCAGAAAACAGTAACATTTAATTGAAATAGACAACCTTAGAATACAAACCAGAAACAACAAAGGAATAACAAACAACACACACAGAAAAGGATAGGCCAGCTCCTCCATCGCTCTGCTTGCTGGCCTAGCAGACCTGGAGAGGCCTTCTGAGCAATGCTGGAAAGTGAGTCCTCGCCTAAATTAAGGCTCTCAACGTTTGGGTTTTTCTCACATTTCCACAAGCTGCATTTACAGTCTTCCCTAGTGGCAAAACTAAATAGAAGACCCGAAGAAAAAGCCAGTAAACAAACAGTCATACAAACACAGAGAGCAACAGGATATAGTTTCCAGCATGAACCACTCAGGCCAGAGAGCAGATTCCTTCAAAATGGAAATTTTGCCATCTTGCCTCAGCACTGTTGGTGAGAAAAACCAGAAAGGGGGTGTTGAATCATTTAGAACAAACTTTTTTCTTAACCATTTTTTTGTCAAGTTCCCTTCCCACTTTCAAAAATGATGGAGGACCCCAAAAGAGCTTTTGTTTGTATGGGCTATATTTATCAATAATTACCATATTAAAAATTAAAATTGATGCATTCATTGCCACTATTGCTTCTTATGATTGAGTGATGGGATTTTAATACTGTATTATTTTTCAACATAGGCTGGCAAATAATTTTGATTTTGCAGACCCCTGAGAGGGTCTTGGGGGACCCCCAGCAGTCCTGGGACCACAGTTTGAGAAACACTGCCTTAAAAGAAAGTATTAAGACTGAGGCCATCATCAAAATAATTATTTATGCCTATGCAAGGTATCTGTACTTCCAAATTTCTTTTGCTACCTCCATGGCCTCCACTAATTATTATTTCTAATTCATTTTTATTTTGAAGGTGTGCAGCATTCATGGAAAAGTTATTCAATGGATTGCTTATACAAGTAGTCCTTGAGTTACAACCATTCACTCAGCTATCCATCAAAGTTATGGTGGCACTGAACAAATGGTACTTATGCCTAGTCCCCAAAGTTATGGCTGTTGCAGTGTCCCCGTGGTCATGTGATCAACATTCAGGCACTTGGAAGCCCGTCTGTACTTACAACCTCAGGGGCACTTCAACTCCCCCATCAGCTAATTTCCCCTCCATCGCTGCCCTTTTAGCCGCCCTGCACAGTGACATTCCTCGGTGGTGGTGATGGCACTGGGCTGAAGTAGAGGCTCGGGCCTTCAGCAGTCTCAGCTGGCTGCCACCGCCTCTGGGCCTATACTGTACTTTAGCCCCAGTGCTGCTGCTGCTGAGAAGTGCTGCCTCAAGCCCTGCACCACAGCCAGCCAACCCAGTGCCACAGCACAAAGTCCCAGCTATCCCTGTCACCCTGCCCAGCTGACCTTTGCCATCTTCCTCCCGCTGCTGACTAGGCACACCCGGCCTGGCCCTATGTGAAGCAGCTGCTAGCTGCACCAGGCCTTCTTCCTGAGGCTGTCTGCACCATTCTCCAAATGCACACACCCTGTTCCCTCCTTCCCAGGCCTTCCTATGCTCATATGCACCCCATGCCCTCCTTCCCTGGTCTCCCTGTGCTCATGCTGCCCACAATACACCCCTGCCCTAACTCATACATGGCCTGGTCAGGCCTCCAGGGCCCCCCCACCCCATGAGGTAGCCCCACACTCCTTACCTGGGACTCCCGCTGCTTCCCGCTTAACAACCTGCGTGTCTTGGGTTACTATGACAACCAGAACTGCCTAGATTGCTGTTACTAAGCATGACACCGTACTTTATGACTGCATCACTTAGTAATGGCAATCCCAGTCCCAATTGCTGTAACTCAAGGACTACTTCTACTTATATTACGCATCTAAGGCCTATTCTACATGTTTCAGAGATAGGCACAGGAATACCTTTTATGCAGGTGCAGAGTGCAGAGTGAATTAGGTCTAGTGTGTGTAAGTGTGCTTGGGGCAGAGAATGACTACTCTGCAAACTTTATTACTGCTTGTTTTTGAACTGGCACAGTCATACTCAGAACTAAGCACAGAACAAACACATGCAAATTCCAGGGCTGTGTTCTATAGGTCTCTGGTAAAATTTAAATCTTCACACTGGGAAATGTAAAAGACCAGGGGTGGGCGATTTTTAATTCAAGATTAATGAAAATCAATATTGTTTTATGTAACTTTTTAAATTAAAAAAGGCTCTAATTTAAGATCAGAAAAATATCAAGTAAGAAATGGTGACAACCAAATGCAACCATTTTTAAAGCAAAACATGATTGTATAATAAAATTCATATATAATAAAAATTAAAATATATTAAAGCATATAAAAACATGAATCAGTATCAAAGTATGGCTCAATACATAGAAATTGATTTAATGATGGTTTTGAGGGTATTTCAAAAAACAGGCAAATGCAAGGGATGTGTCTATGGGTCAAAACAATGGTGACTCTTCTTATAATGTCCACTTTTCCACAATGCAGCTATTATTCAGAAAGAATGCTTGGGAGACAGAAGATATCAAAGGAATTTCCAAGAAAGAAGGAGCATTCCCACTCACTTTTGTCTCTGCCCTACTTATCATATAGCCCCAGAGGACATACGGTCTTTAGAGGAAAGGCTGTGACCCCTGATTTAAATACTGAATATTTGTTTATTGACTTTAATTCCAAGGTAATATTTGTCAGTTAATCTAAACAACTGTTATAAGAGCTCAGTAATAATATTTATGAA